AATCAATAAATTCCAAAAAAAAAATTTAAAAAAAATTGATTCTTAGAAGGCGGGAAATAAGCTTTCCCGACTTCTGAGGTGTCTTTTAATTACTTTATATTTCTTCAAAATTAAATTTTTTCCCCTCTTGAAAATGATTTAATGAATCAATGAATTCCGAAGAAAAGGGTGTCCGGGTTACCCCGGAAATATTTCGATTTCCAGAATGCGGGGAATGAGCTTTCCTGACTTCTGAAATGTCTTTTAAATGACTTTTTAAGTTCTTCAAAATTTAAGGTTTTTCCCTCTTGAAAACGGTCAGGTAAATTTTGCTCATGTTTTATTTTATGTGTGTATACATACATAAATAAATGAGTAGTTGCACGCCTATTCTTTTTTCCATGAATCGATAAATCCCAAAAAGAAAGGGTGGTCCGGGAATTATCCCCTGGGAAAATTTTGATTCCTAGATGGCAGGAAATAAGCTTTCCCGCCCGACACTGGAAGTGTGTTTTAATGACGTTCTTCAAAATTCTAATTTTCTTATTGTAACATAAAAAAAAAAAAAAAAAAAAAATCAGCTTACGGGTCCTGAAAAGTTAGGTATAGAATTGTTTTTTTTTTTGTTTTTTTTTTTTGGCCTTTTTTGTTGGCCAAGGGAGGGGTCAGGACCCATTACCCCCTTCCCCAGGACCGCCAATGTGAATCGCGAGAAAATTTAACTCGGTTGGGGACTGGATAAACATTCTCTTTTCCATCCTTCGCCTCCTTCCCTCTTTCATTTCTTTCCATAATCATACAAAAATCTCCAGACATTATATGTTTTTTGCCAAAAAGGGGGGGGGTTCCCGGGTTTCCCCCCCCCCACCCAGTTCCCCCAGTTCCGCCGGCCCGTTAAACACTGTGGGTGAAAGTTTTTTGCAAAAAAAATAGGGGGAGGGGCGTACTCCCCTTACATCTAATCCCCATTCTAATATTTAACAAAGGGCCCAGAAATCAATTAAGCCAATCAGCTGTTGAATGTATAGGTCTCAAGTCACTCACCCCAATGGCAATAAATCGTGCTTTATTTAGGGCTAGCTAGGCTAGGGTAGGCCTAGCCTAGCCTAGACGAGACCCTAGCGCCCCGCCTAGGGCCTAGGCTAGCCTATCTACAGCATTGAAGATCACCAATGTTTAATTATTGAATATAAAAGTTCTATTGAATTAAAGTATATTGAATTAAATTGTTCTACCAGATTGAACGATCAAACTATCATCTGTTGAGATGCCATCCTGTAAATGTTGGTGAATGTCTAGGGGATCATCTTAATAATTCAACACTCACTGCATGTGGAGAGCTGAAAACTAGCTACAGTGTACTTTTGGGATGTGATACCTTCTGAGCAGGGATCGTCTCAAAAATTCCGGTTTTTTTTAACTAAAAGAAAATGTTTTTTCTTGCTAGACAACCGGGCAACGTGAGTATAAATAGGCTAGCCCGGAGCGGTTTTTTTTATTCTGTGATATAAGTGGGGAGGGGGCGCGTCGCGGGCGCCCCCCCCTGCAGAGTGGCCTGCGGCTTGCCGATCAATTCTTAAGCTTATATTAAGGCTTGTTAAGCTATGAGTGTGTCTTGCGATGCCATTAGGCCCAATGAAAAATGATTAGTCTATCACCCCCGTCTGTACCGTATATCTTCTGTGGTCAAAAGAAAAAAAAACATTTTGGAAAAAAACAATTTTCGTATTTTTCTTAATTTCATATTTTAGTAAATAGTTAGTAGATATTAATTGTTTTATTACATTATCTCAATAATGTATTTCACTTTGAATGAATATAAATGCATCAGAAAACAAACCAATTGTGATATTTGGCTTTAAAAAAAATAAAAAGCCTTTCTTCATTACTTTTCCAGCCTAGATAAAATGATAAACTAATATATTTTATTTTATTTTGCCTTATTAATTGCACATTTCTTGTATATATCGAACTACGCTATTCTATTATTATTCTATTCTTAGAGACTTTTTGTATTTTGCGCTCTATAAAATTAATAACCATTAACCATTACCATTATTTCTTACGGTACCTCATAGGTAGGCCTAATAGCTAAAGGGTGTTGTGGGCAGCTGCTGTCGCTAATCCATTCAAAAGCATGTGATGTACGGTATTGAATATATGTCATCGAGTTAGGTCTATACTAATCGACTGTAACTGCGTGGTTACGTATGTATATCTTCTTTCCCAAAACCAGTTCCTCCTCTCCGTCACCATTTGGTTGGAACCACAAACAACCCCAATAGTTCGGAATCATTCCCACTTAGGCCTATAACATAACGTAATCATTAATGGAATCTATAATAAATTGATTAAGGCCTGATGTTGTGCCTATTTGCGGTCCAGACGCGTGCACAGCTCTGGAAGAAATATCGTAGCACCATTCTGTTAAATAGCTTATTATACTGGCATATTTTGATCTCTCCTATTTATGCCTATTGAAATAGCGCGCATAAAAAACAATTTTACGAATATTCAAGATATTGGACGAGGATTTGTCACGCTACACTGAAGCAGTACGGTGAAAGGAGCAGCAGAGGTAAGTGGAACGTACCACTTTAGTGATCGCGGCTGATACAAACGTATGTTCACTAAATAACGTAATGAAAATATTATAAATCCTGTCCATGTTAATCACTAAAATAAGTCAATACGACACGAATACGGAACATGTCTACATTCATCAAATTTTAGCATGTATTGTATAATCCATTTTTACCATATTCCTTACCGGTGGCCTATGCTTATCTTACCAGCTTTAACATTAAAACTAAATTATTATTGGCTCATGTTCTTCATTTAGAGGTAATTTGACTTTCATTAACAGGTCTTTATAAATTAAAATTCGATAGGGCTTCACAAAATTATTATTTAAATGATACACCTGAGTGGGTTCATAGGCGGCGATGGTCGCCCCCCCCCCTACCCCACCCATCACCCGTAACATGTTAGAGTGTTTTTAAATTTTAGCTGGCAAAAATGTACAGATTTTAAGTAAATAGTAAGCAGCTTTTTTTCTTTAGAGGTGAGGATCATTTATGAGAACAATTTTAAGGCTAATATATATTGTTGGCTTTAAGTCTACCGAAAGATGGGAGGGTGACAAGACATAAGACTGTTCCCCAATTCATTTAAACTTATTTATACGAGTTCCTGTAATAATGGAACAAAATATAATTCACGAGAATAATGTTCAGGCTAAAATTATTGTTGACTTTTAAATCGCTGAAAGGATGGGAGGGTGAAAGACAAAAGACGCGCATACCTATTGACCCTAACTACAACTCCAAATAAAATATTGTAAATCTCTTATACTAACCTCATTAGGCCTACAAATAATAAAAGATATTTATATGGTATGCTATGAGGCTGGACAAGCATATCATCCCTAGACAGCATACAGTAGGTCCTGTCTCTTATACACATCTAGATGTGTATAAGAGACAGCCTGTCTGGTAGGGGGGCGGGCTCCCTGCCACCCCGCTGGCGCCGCCACTGAAAAGACGGTCCCCCAAGTCATTTAAACATATTTCATTCATTCTTTCACGGCATTAAAACTTGTTTTATTCATTCTTTCATTTAATTCATTCTTTCATTAAAACTTATTTCATTTTATCCTGCAAATAATCTGGACCAAATACTTCACAGCTTCACGAGTTAAAATAACTTAATTTCATAATTACATTAATAGGCTTTTAAATATTCAAAAACATTTTACTGGGTCTAATTTTTGTTGGCCTACAGTAATTTAATCTGCAATGGCATAAAAAATAATATGAAAGCAAGTACAAAAGCAAGAAAGCAAGAGTATATTTAAACAGGGGTGGATCTTGGTTCAAATTGTGGGGGGGGGGGGGTTAAAATGTCTTATAAAATCCCCAAAAAAGGGGGAATATGTTTTGGCTGGAAATGAGCTTCCACGACATCTGAGGTGTCTTTTGACTTTTAAGTTCTTCAATTCAAGGTTTTACTCTTCTTAAAAACGGTATGAACTTCCTATTCTAATTAAAGCAAAAGGCCTATGTGTGTATACATACATAACAAAAAAATGAGTAGGCCTATGCATAGGCGTACATTCTTTTTTTTTCATTAATCGATAAAACTTTGGTCCCCCTGGGAAAATGTTGATTCCTAGATGGCGGGTAGCATATGAGCTTTCTCGACTTCTTTCTCAGCTAAGCTAAAGGTGTCTTTTTTTAAAATGAATTTTAAGTATTTGAAAAGCTTTTCCCCCTCTTGAAAGGTCAGGTAATTAAGCTTTCTCATTCTGACAGTAAATAGGCATATAGGCCTATGCCAATGCGTATACCTGTACAGAAAAACAAATTGAGTAGGCCTACTGTTGTATTGTACTCTTTTCCCCATGAATCGATAAACCCCAAAAAAGAATGGTGGCCGGGGAATCTACGGGGGATCAGCTCACAGGTCCTGGAAAGGTAGTCTAGCTTTTATTTTGTATTTATACTTTATTTTATTTATTTTTCCCATTCCCATATCAGATCCGATAATAATATACCGTACCTTATTTAAATAAAAACATGATTTCGATAATCTTAACTCATTGAGGCTTATTTGATGGGGGTCTATAAAAAAGATCATATGAATAAAAAAAAAATAAACACATTAAATTTCAGATGACTCTGCCGACGTTAATTAAAAAAAAATCAAAAGAAAAAAAATTAAAAAGTTAGATGACCCCGACGTGATTTGAACACGCAACCTTCTGATCTGGAGTCAGACGCGCTACCGTTGCGCCACGGAGTCATTCTTGTCCTTCTTTCTAACATATAAATAAATATACCTTTCACAAGTATTGTTTGACTTTGTTTGGAATATAGATGACTTTATTTTTATCTTCCTATGTTATAATGAAATTAATTAAGTTTTAATTTAAGTGTACAGTATTTGGATTTTGTATACAGCTGGCTATAGATTATTTTACTATAATGGTGAAATTATATCTAGGCTAGGCCGCGCCGTCGAAGTAATTATATCCCACAATACATCACTTCAGTTCGTCGGTAGACTATAGTCACGTGGTCTTTTCCGTGTCATGTCGAGTTTTGAGAAGGTACAAATGATTAACTAGCTCAATATTTTGTGCTTATATTTTAGATTAAATACACTTTTTAATTTAAATATTTATGCTCAGTAGCATGCATATATGATTCGTTTTAGTCCGTGTAGTAATAAATACTAACCTTTTTAGAATTAATGAACATTTTATTCCAAATTCTTGAAGAAGAATTGCCATATTAAAAACTAAGCGAGCCCACACATGGATGCCATGCATCATGGTTCATCATTCAGCCCAGCTTCCTCCACACTTCCTCAGGGTCGACCTTGCTAGGCTACACCGTAAACTAGGCCTAGCCTAATACCTCCAACCATGGCTAGGCCTGCACGTATCGGACGCATTCTTTATATAAAAGTGGCGCTAATGCACTTTAGTACTTTACCCTAACCTTACCATATCATAGGCATAGCGAGACTGGAGTTACGGTTAAATAGGTTATGCCTAGGGTGGAGTAGGCCTAGGCCAAAGTCACAAAGTGCAGCATTAGCACCGCTAGAAGAACGTTCTTCAGGCATAGGGCCTAGACCTATCTTATGTACTGTACGCTGTGCTGCTAGAGCTGGCAGGCTTGTATAGGGTAGGCCTACCTGGCTAGTAGTAGGCCCCTAACTAAACTAAGGTAGCAGCAGTCTTTATATGAAGACTTTATTCCATACATTTTGTAAAGTATATTTTTACAAAGAGGATAGGCCTAGGCTATTTTAAAAATCGCACAGAAATATTATGCACTTGTCAATTGTATTGTAGTCCAGCCCCACCGTGACCAGACCTGGGCCTAGCGGGGACTTGCTTGTTACGTGTTGTATGATGTGAAAGTCCCAGCAATGCAGGGCATCGTTTTAAAATTACATACATCCCTAGCTAGGTCCCCACCACCTACCGGGGAAATATTTAGTAGTCCGGGTAAAATCCCAGCTAATAAATGATTGGATGATAAGGCCCCTAGGTCTGCTCCGGACCTAGCAAACATAGAGATCGAGACAAAAAACAATTTCAAGGTCTAGCCTATGTCTGAATCGGAGAAGTGTGCGAGAGCTAGGCAGGAGTTAGGCCAAGGAGATGAGCTTGCTTGGTAGAAGCACAGTTATGTATGCAATCGTATCACTAGGCAGATTTCCTCGAAGTTTTGAAAAGTGCGAAAAACAAAGGGAGTGTATTGATTGATCATAGAAAAAGAAAATTAATTGATAAATTTAACTGATTGATAGAATTTATTCAGTATCAAAGCAGATATTAAATAAGAAAATTAACGCAGAAGTAGAAACAGATTTCCTTGCCTTTGCTCACTGGTGTAATTTTTTGACGCAAACTAGGTCAAATAGGCCTACACAATTCACAAATTTTCAAGCAACACACTCGCGTCGCCTCGGTCCTCGTTGTGTAATGGAGGTTTGAATGTTATGTAATTTACACCGTGACCTGTAAAAAATGAAACCATGATGGTAGGCCTAGAATACCGGTAGTAGACAATGTTTTAATAACCAAAGCACACAGCAATCGCTGAATGCCTAGGCCTAGTATAGGCTAGGTAGGACCAAACCGTTTGACAGCCACACCCGAAAATCCGGCTACTATAACATGTAAAATTCCCAGCCCTTTCGAAGCTGGTTACATCTACAAGTGAATTTTAGGTATGTCCCGGCACTACGGGGACAAATTATGTGTACGTCCCAGGCTTAGACTTGGTTAGTGCCCTGCCATGGTTCCGGGATGGGCTGGGACTACATTTGACAAGTGTATTTGTGCAACTCCATGGTGCAGCACAGCATGCATTGTGCTGAATGTTATATATTTCTGATTAATATTGAAACCATTCTTAATATAAATAAACGAACATAAAAAACAAAAACAAACATAAATGAACAGGAGTAAATAATAGCACATGATGATTTTGTTGTCAGGAAATTTGATTCAAAATTTGCTACTGATCTGATATTCTAATTTGCTGAAATTTAAAAAAGTAAAAAACATCCAATTTCTAGACCTAAAAAATACGTACTGAGTATCTTCTTTGTCAACCACGTTTGCCAACATTTTCACTTTTCTCTTTAGTTACGAAAAATATGATTATGGTATGTCAATGATGCTTTACCTACATTGTATGAGTAATTATGATCACAAATCATAACTCCCTGAGACATTGCCATAATTTGATTTACTGTATTAAATTGTTTATGCATAGCAGTATTAACATAAATATGTAACAGATACACTAGATATCGGTTGCCATAAAATTGATTGCAAAGCCCATTCATTAAATTCTTGTTGTTTACTGTCGTTAAAAATAAACAGCTCGCTAACTGCAGCTAAAAATAGAAAACACAGCAGTCCGTCCATAAAGAGACCAGCACAGTGGGCTGATCGGACCATTAATTCAAAGCGTAAATTCTCGCCCGTTTCACAGCTGCGGCTAAAAATAGACAACACCGTTAATTCACATCGTGAAGACTCCCATATTCGACAGAGAATCTTGCAGCTAAAAATAAATTGTTCGTCCATACATGCATTACAAGTAGTAATATATATATATATAGGCGGTCTTTACTTGCGATGGGTGTGATAGGTTAGATTGGTTGTTGCTGTGCAAAAAATAACCTATGACACCAAGAAAGGTTAAGCAAAGGCTGGCCTAGGCCTAGCTTAAAGTAAGACCAAGCAAGTTATGGCCACTAGCTAGGCGCCTAGGCCTACCTAACTGTAATTATGGTGTTCCCTTTCCTTTGATGCTTGTGTAAAGTTTTTTACCGGAATATAGTTTTGGATAGGCCATTAATCGTAGGGCAGTTGCTTATACTGTATATGTATCTGCCACTTTGAAAAACGATAGTCATTTTCGTTCAGTTCATGCACACGGGAAACCCCTGTGTATAATCCCACCCCCTCCCCCAAAAATCGAGTCAATTTCGCATTCAGGGGGGGGGGGAGAGAGTGGCATTATACTTGGGGAACTATGGTACTATGCTAGGCCAGTACTAGAGCCTGCCAAGGCCAGTACTAGAGCCTGCCAAGGCCAAAGTAGGAAGAGAAAGGCCTTCATTAGGCCAAATCAAAACAGTCTCTCCCTCATCAATGAAAAAAAATTATACTATATTGATTATTCTCGATAAAATAAAAAATAAAAAAAAAACCTCCCGCTCTCATCAATTTTTTTTTTTTTTTTTTAAGAATCGTAATCTAAGAACCTTGTTTTATTTGCAAATTAACCTTTAACATGTCAGATACATGTATTACGTTTGGTAGACTAACATTAATCATTATAGCCAAGTATTTCATATTATATCTTATGTGAGTACAATAAAACGCAGATTATCACCATGAACTCCAAAAATTATGATTGGTGAAAGTAAAATACAGTTGGTATTAGATTTCATGCAAAAGCTTCTATTAATGTCTATCTCTTTCATATTTAGGATGATGTATTATTAGTCCTGTATACAGTATACCTGACATGTAGTAAATTTTTTTTTTTTTTTTTTCAAATTGCAGGTGATAATTATTGATGGTAGAGGGCACCTTCTAGGTCGCCTGGCTACCATCGTTGCCAAGAACATCCTTCAAGGTATCAATTGATTTTTTTTTCCCCCGAAAGAATGCTATTTTTTCAATAATAGAAATTAAAAATCTTTAGCTTGTAAATACCTGTTTATTCTGATATTGGTCAAATTATTGTTATTTAGACATACAGTGTGCCTAAGGTCAGTAGCACTCACAAATAGTTTACAAAAGCAAACATTACAAATTTCAATGTACTGTACAGTAAAAAAACTCAATAATATCTATAGATACCCTACAATTAATTAGAATATAATTGCCATTATTTGTTATTTGTAGGCTGAATTTTCTTCAGTGATGATGGATAGATGACTGATTCAATATATTGATGAAAATCCCTTTACATGCACTACCATCTGAGAAAAAAAAAATCTGCCGTAATTCATTATAACCTGTTTGCAAAGTAGTAATTCTTGTTAGTCTGTAGCAAAAATGTATATGTTACATTTGATCCTCTATTTTTGTTAGGTCAAAGGGTTGTAGTGGTGAGATGTGAAGGTATCAACATATCTGGAAGCTTTTACAGAAACAAACGTAAGGGAATTGCATAAGACATTTAAAATACTAAATTAGAGATAAAGATGAGACTTAATCAGGAAGTGCTCACTAAACAAATATTTTACAAATTCCATCTGTATATTTGAGATTTCTAAATACACATATTTGAGAATTTTACTTTTCATTAAATCTGTGGAAACTTTGATTATGTCAGTGATGCTTTACCTACATTGTATGATATTAATGATCACAAACCATTTTTCTGAGACATTTACTTATCAAAGTTTTACCTACATATTTTTGGAACTGTCAACCACAACCATATATATATAAAGGTGTACTACTGCGGAAAAAACTTGAGTGACTTTGGCAATTTCCATAGATGAGCATTTTAGGTCACTGTTTGCTTTCACTGCACAGTTATTGTACATATTTTGTATGCGTCATTGTCACAAACAAGAATACAGATTTGTCAGCCTTCACCAACATTGTGATTTTGTTTTAATCCAAGGTATGATTTATTTCTTCCAATCTGTACAGTGAAGTATCTAGATTTTTTGCGCAAACGATGCAACACCAAGCCTTCTCGTGGTCCATACCATCTTCGAGCTCCAAGTAAAATGTTCTGGAGGGTTGTCAGAGGTAAGAATGTTCCACAATGCAAGTGTTATAATCTGCTTTTTGGCCAGTACATTGGTACTGTTATGTATCTTCTGAACTCTAGCTGCTTGTGTCTTTGGGCATGTGGGTACTATGAGGTTTGATTTTCAATGTACTCATTTATTTTGTGCAGCAAATGGGATACAGCTCCATGGAGCTGAGTATGTGTTCCATAGACATCATTCCTATAACTTGGGTAATAATTTGCAGCACTTTAAGATTTGAATGTGTAAAGCACTAGGTACATACCAATATTATATTATATACAGTATATTGGGCAGTTTAATGTACTGTATATATTTTTGCCAGTACATTCTATTGTGTTCACTTGGTTTGTATATTGCAAGTATATCTTATACAAGCTAGTACATCTTGGCCAGTATATTGTACAGAATATAATATAGTGGTCAGAAGTATATTGTAATAAATAAATCGTGTAAAGTCAAACTTATTCAGAATAGCCCCAAAACAAATAGATTAAAAAATTCATTCATGTTTAATGCAGTCAACCTATTTAATCTCAATTTCATCATATTTATTGTACTTGCTATATATATTGTATCAATTTGTATTATTTAGATGTTTTCCTTTGATATATTAAGTCGTTTTTTTCACCCGATTATGCAATGCAAACATCTCAAATGAACAAAAGTTTATTTTGACAATGTACTGACCAAGATGTAGGGTATAAAAGATACAATTATTCAGAATGCTTATCCCATGACTCTGGTTTAAAACGCACCAATGATGTTTTTCTTACCTCTGTATTTTCCTGTGACAGTTTTTGACATTTGAAATCTGAGGTGTGTAAATGCTTTAAAGTCATGAGTGTAGCCCCAAAATTATGATGCTATTCAACTGGATTGTTATTGATAAAAGGAGCATATGCCACAGCGTGTAAGGTGTTGGACTTCTCATCGTGAGATTGGGAGTTCGAGACCGACGTTCGTCGCATTGCTTGTCTCCTTGAGCAAGGCACTTTACTTGCGTTTGCCTCTCTCCACCCAGGAGTATAAATGGGTACCTGGTAGGATGATGTGGCTTTGCAAGTATTAGTCTGTATCGGCATTAAATTGCACACATGACTAAGAATTCTGCACAGGGAGTGGAGCAGGTTGCACTTCGTGCTGGTTTGAATATGGATCCGATAACCTGGGGTAATAATAACATCGCCAACATCTTGTATTCCTTGGCAAAAGACACAGTATAAATCTCTATATTATTCTTTTTATTATTTTTGCATATTATGTAGTAGATTTTATTTTTTTCAATTTTTTTTTTTTTTTTTTTTTTTTCATTTTTCCATCAGGAATGCTTCCACATAAGCTTACCCGTGGAAAGGAAGCTCTTGAAAAATTGAAGGTGTTTGAAGGAATTCCACCACCATATGACAAGAAGAAGCGAATGGTAGTACCTGCCGCTCTCAAAGTCCTCAAACTTAAGCCGAACAGGAAGGTGAGCAGTTGTTGATTGTGTTTTGTCTTTTTCTTTTTAGTCTTTAAATGATAGCAGACTGCATTAATAATGCTGGAAATGTAGACACTGTACCTACTAACCAGACATCTCTATTTTCAGTTTTTTTGTACCCGACTTGCCATAATAGGTAGTCATATTGATTGAAGCAGATGGAAATGTAATACTTTATAAAAAGCTCTTCAATGCAGCAAATTTGAATGAACAGAACAATCAATATTTTTTTTAAAGTGCTCAGATACTTTCATTATTAAGCTTTCTACAATATGAATGATGTATAATTTTATTGTAGAAAAAAAATGGAAAGTGAAATTAATAAAAATTATTTTTTTTTAATGAAAATTACATCCAAAATGCAATTCATTTAATCTTGTTTTTGGATATTTTAGTATCTACTGATAATGATATATAGATCAGGAATTGGAATCATGTCGATGATGGCTTTTCAGCGGAATGAATTTTCATGACTAAAAATAAATCAACTGAGACATGTACTCCACTCTGTATATCATCACTTTTGATCTGTAAAGCAAGAATTTTTTATAGCTTGTTTAGCAAACTTAATTTTTGAGAGATCTTCAGAGGTTGGTAAAAAAAAAAATAACTCAAAAATGGGGGGAGAAGAAAATAAAAAGTGTATTGAGTAAAAAATGTTAATGTGAAAATTTATAAGTTATAGAAAGCACACAAATCCTGTTACTTGGTTGTATAAAAAATGCAAAAAAAAAAAAAAAAAAATGCAATGTTCCAATTTGAATGTGTATTAACTAGTTCAGTACAGTAATTATAGGTGTACAGTACTAATATTCATTTTGAATGACATTCAGTTTTGTGATCTTGGACGTCTTGGCCATGAAGTTGGATGGAAATACAAGGATGTTGTAGAAACGCTAGAGATAAAACGAAAAGCAAGATCTCAGATCCGCTATGAAAAGAAAAAAAAGCTACAGGTTTGTCATCATTTCTGATTATTTTTATTGAAGCTTTAAAATTAATGGAAATTTGCTTAAGAGTATTGTGGATTTCATTTTTGTTGTTTTCTAATATTGATTTAAATGGTTTTTGGAATAACCATGCTTTCTGTATTTTTCATATTTGTATCATTGATGTCTGTGATGATGACTCATTCTCTCTGATCATCGATGAGAGAAAACCTTTTACATGCACTACCATCTGAGACTGAATGAACACCAGTACACTATAATACATTACAATTATATTTATAATAGTTGATATTGTTTTTGTAGACAGTAGGTTGTAGGGCGATTTCACAATCTTAAAAAAATATTAGTATTTTGCATCTGTTTTAAAATGTAATAATGCTTTCATATAAATTGTGCAAAGTAACTTTTACACTCCAATCTGCATTTTTACTGTAATCCAGGTATTTTTGGTTAAACTCTATCTGTATCTGTTTTATTTTAATTCCTTTTGCAGAGCATTCGAAAACAAGCTGCAGAGAATGTGAAGAATGAGATCGCAGAACAGCAGAAATTCATTGAATCTTGTGGCTACTATTAATATTTAAAAACAGAAAGGAGAAATAATAGATTTTAAATCTGAAGCAAGGCTCTTTAAATCTGGCTCAGTTCATGGACACAAAAACAAGTGATTAAAAACAGTGACTGTCACATATCTTTGTACAATAAACCTATGTTGCAGGTTAAAATACTGATGTTTGTTTCTTGAATTCTTTATTCTAAGCATGTAAGGTTAATTAAAATTTGTGCCAATTTAACACTGGGGTCGCACTCAAACTTGGCTTCGGCTGAGAATTTTGTTTTATACCTCGATTAGTGAACCTGCTGCACACCAATAATAATAATTTTGAATAAAAATAAAATTCAATTTTGGCCACTACAAAAATAAACATTCTGTATTTCTTGTTTTATCTGGGTGAAGAGTATGCGAGTTGTGGGCAAAATCAATAAGGTGTTCTTAACGGATGTAGAAAATAATAGTGGATTAACCTAGCTTTTTTCGACATTGATATGAAAGTTTTCTAAGTGCACAACAATAATCAAATATATGATTGTCTGTGACCAACGGCTAAGTGACAAGCAGGTGGGTTATTGATTTGAGAATAGAGTGTCAGTTTGTTAGATCGGAGGTGTCAAAGTACAGTACTGAATTAAAAATTAATTTTTTTTGCTAGACCAAGATCTAGTTTAAAAAAAAAAAAAATTGCTAGCGCTTGTATAGCAGCTATTGAATATTTTTTGCTAACCTAGCCCTATAACACTCAAGTCTCGGACCCAGGACCACCAACTTTTTACAGCCCTGGTACTACTTTAGCGAATGCCAGATTGCTAACTGAAAAGTTGTGAAACCCAGTTTGCCTGGATGTCAATTTTACAATTTAATATCCAAAAAAACCTGGAATACACAATTATAAGGTGCATACTGATTTAGGCTAAAAATATAGGGCTTCTATTGACTCGGATTAGTTTATCCTTTAAAAGGAAATTCTTTTATACTGTACATCCAAAAGTCCATCTTGTTTAATAAAAAAAAAAACAGTAGGCTTCACACACATTACAACTATATCCGTAGAATAGCACAGTTGACAAGTTGCTTTAATTTACTGTATAGAAAAATGGGTTTCGTCAAACCGGTCTGAAACATATTCCATCCAACAGCTTTTCTCCCCTCTTGACCTTTCTGGGAAGTGACCCCCCTCCCATAACAGTGGTCTGTTATTCAGTGTTAATGGTGTACAGTTATTTAATAGGTTTAATGATATGAAACATTGAAGCATATTGGGTTTATTTCTCAATTAAGTACTTGACACAGTGATGTGTATTGAAAATGGAATGTCTAATAAAGCAGTGCTGCCCATGTCTATTACAGTTGAGAAACGATAAATGCTTGAAGAAAGTAAATGAAACAGCCGTTTTCCAATTGAAACAGGATTTTATTAACAGTCAAAAAATCTTTACTTTCTTTGGTGCATAAAAACTAAACTGTCCTATTCTTTCAGCACCAAAATAAGAAAAAACAAAGACCCTGTTTTGGACCCCAAAAAAGCAAGGAGTGCAATTGCGTCCCACCTGAAAATCTATGGTTATCTCCTTCACAACCTATGTACAGCAAGTGCTTCTATCCATTTGATAATTACCTACACAACTCTAGCAATACACAATGTCTTATACATATAATATCACAGGCACGACAATTGCAATCATGTTTTATCACGAAATAATTATTTAAAAAATGATGGAATTTATATACTGTATGATGATCATGTTTATTAGAATAATATCCCAGACAGCACTGGAAATTGGCAGTGAATCACCATTAGTGTTCTGCCGAACACAGGTCTTTCATGACATTCTCCAATACCAAACATTAAAACAAAAAAACAAAAATAATTATCATTTTGAAACTATATCATTTTGCTTATTTGTTCACCTAGTTTGCAGTGCATATTTTTTTTAGCTTAAAATATAGATTATTATTCTTAAATACACACAGATGTTCACTAGGATATTCAGTTATGTGTAATGATAATCATTTAACAATCATTCTTTTAATTTATAAATTAATAAAACAAAAATATAATTAACAATAAATATATACAGTATTAACAGAAGAAGTTTAATTCCTCATGCAAGACAACCCTACTTCAAAACTACTTATAATACCACCTATTTACACAATGTAGCCTCTTAAACAGAGTTGATGCTAGAGGAAAGCTCTTCCGTGTGCTTTTAGACTTAATTATTGTAACAATGTGTGATGGGAGTTCACACAGATGCGTTTGCTTCCTTACTGGCTGTCTGCTTTGACGTCTGCTTGATTTTGTAGTCATTGAGGGCAGCCTTGATAGCATCCTCTGCCAACACTAGAACATAAATTAGTAAATTATCATGACTACAATTACTCCTGATACACTTTTAAAATTAATCATTGTATTTATACTTGAGGACTTGGGTACAAGTAGTTTACAGAAGATATAGCAAAATGTGTCTGTAAATGGAAGTTTAAAAATTAATCTAAAAATGTTTTATTATTAAATCCTGATGTCAATTATAAAAAAAGCAGACTCAGTTGTTAGCCTCCTGTTCTTAATACATTTTTTAAAATTGTCCACAGTACCACTTATTTATGAATGATATTTATCGAACTTCTGACTTAGTAATATCTTATACAGTGTTTTGTAATATTAGTGGAAATGGCTGACACATGGTTGAGGCTGACACATGAAGATTTTTAACCTTTAGGTTGGGGCCCAAAACTCGCACTTTACATTTTACTAATGTTTTTGGGTATGACATTTTAACCTATGTACAGTATGTCACTCCCTCTTTCTTTCTCTCTCTATCGATTTAGGGGGGGGGTGAGGTTTAAAAAGAAAAAAAAAGGAAAAATAATTTACTGGTTGCCCAAAACGCCTCAGAGTTTATTTATTTAGAAAACAAGCATTTCCCAGGACCCCCTAGGGTAGTGTTGTGTTGTCCTCCCTTTCGGACATTTCTTGATCCGCCCTTGGCTTGGAAGGTAAACAGTCTTGTTGTGAGGGAGTGCCAAGTCCCCCATGATTGGCAATATTAACTTACTAGAGCAGTGAAGCTTAACAGGCGGAAGACAAAGTTCTTTTGCAATATCCTTGTTCTTGATTGTTGTAGCTTCATCCAACTACATAAGAAAACAGAGTTAAATGAATAGAAAACAAAAAAAAACGAAGTGAGTTACACAGACTTCTCTTTCAAATATTAATAACAATAAACAGAAATATGAATGCTGTTCATACGACCCAAATGTGTAAAATTAATGTGGTACTGATACTTCTCTGGCATCCTCCTCGGTTACATTATGAAATCCCCTTGACATGTGTAAAACATTAATACTAAAATATTGACAAACCCAAACGTCTGCGAAGGCTGTGATTACAATGTTCGCCCATTTATGCTGTCAAGTCTGCCAACTATCAGGGACATCCCAACGCCACCACTACCTACTAGGGCCCTGTGAGGACAATTGTCTGGGCCAGCATTCTGTTTTTTTTGGGTTTTTTTTTTTTTCTTTTTTTATTGTCAACACTGTTTTGATTAGAAACCTCAGGAGAATATTTTGAAATTAATATTGAAAAGACTAAAAATGCACTTGATACTAAGAGCTATATGTATCTATACAAGTCCATGATTAGACCTAAGTTGGAGTATGGTGAAGGCATTGAACTTGCCTACTCTAACGTTTAGGAAGAAAAGGGCTAATTTAATTCAAATATTTTTTAAATTTTAAAAAATTTTGATAGGATACAGAAAGAGAAGCTCTTTCAAAGTCTACTTTCCAGAAAACTAGGGGGCATTCCTTAAAGGTTTTCAAATCCAAACCAAATCTAAACATCAGGAAAAGAGCATACGCGGTTTGGGTCGTTCGTGATTGGAATTCATTACCCAATGACGTATCAGCTTTGACACTTAATGAATTTAAATCTGGCATAGCAAAATTTTGGTCTGACCACCATCTCAAGTTCCGCCCATATGTTTCTGAAGAGTTTACTATGATGACTTTTGAGGAACAAACAAGCTAATGTTCTAGTCCTAAGGTTCAAGGTAATTCTCAATCGTATATTCTGAGCACCATTGAAAATTTATCTCGCACTATGGATATTAATTGATTGATTGAATGATTGATTGATACACCTTGGGCTGTGGTTAAGACACCTTTATGGAATAGTATTATTATAATATATGGTATCTCTAGGTCAATGAGAAATCTGCACCGTCATAATAATTCTAGGGCATTTTGTCATATAAAAATCCACATTGAGCTGAAATACAATCTAGTGGAATACAAGTGGAACAATCAAATAAAACTAGTGAAGTGCCTGAAAAGATAAATTCTGTAGTTCAGCACGCTCACAGTGGCTACCACCAGTTTAGCTGACTGAGTTGCATAGCTAACTGTTCTTGCTCAATGCCTTACCGTCTTCCCTTTCACCCATTCAGTGGCCAGTGAGCTTGATGCTATTGCAGAGCCACAACCGAAAGTCTTGAATTTAGCATCAATAATCTTGCCGTCGTCATCAACTTTGATCTGTAAAAACAATTGCCCCATAACGTATTGAAGCCACAGTCAAGTTTTAATTTTATAATAGTGCAATGCATTTTTTTACACATGGTGTATCAAAAGTTTCAAGATTTTGTTATTGATACTCGGCATGCAAACCTTCAAGAAAAAGTATAAATTTTCAGATATTGTCTACCCCACATTATCATAATTATCTACCTATTGTAGATGTTTCATCAATAACATGCTCTAGCATCTAGAAATCACCGACTAGCTATACTGTATTTAACAAAAATGTACTGATATCTCTGTAGGTTAGCTGCAGAAAGTGAGGATCCAGAGAGAAAAAAAACTTAAATGTTAAACAAGTTTTCCAAGACACTGAAGGCGTGTTTCAAGAAATAATCGGTAATAGCTAAAAGGATATTTGAATATTCATAAACTGGAATAACAGGTGCTGGTGTTACACCCCTTTTCTCTCAAGATTTTAAACATTTAATAATATTTAACCTAATAGCTATTCCAGATTACTTACAGTATTTAAACACACTTTCAGTGTCTTAGAAAATTCATTTGGAGAAATATCCATAAACTATTATACAAATAATGAATGTTTATGAGTGCAATGGGAAGAATATTTTCATGAGTTGAAAAATTGACTGTTCCATTCAACAAGGCTTAGCAACGGCTTCAGCAACTGCTTCGGCCACTTTCTTCAGGCTAACGGATCCTGGGTTGAATTGGGTCAGACTTCCTTACTTACAGGTAACTTTCCTTACTCTTATGGAACAGGATGGATGTATTTGAAAGTATATACTGGAATACCATTAAAAGATTTCAAATCAAAGTTACTGAATACGTCACAGAAAGAAGAATTACAATCATCTATTTCTTACCTGAAGCTTCATAACATCACCGCATGCTGGTGCCCCCACAAGTCCAGTTCCAACATTCATATCTTCCTTATCTAAAGCCCCAACATTACGTGGATTCTCATAATGATCAATCACCTACAACATGAATTCAGTAAGTTACAGTATGTACACCATAAATTTAATGTGATTTAAGTAAGAAACTGCAACATTTTGGAGCACCAACCAATACAACACAATGGACAATTTACAATACCGTAAAACCTTGAATAGAAGCCCTGAGCTTCTTTTTTTCAGCAACTTTTGGAGGGGCTTCTTTTCGAGGCTACTTTCACAAAGTAAATAGAGGGGCTTCTTTTCAAAATGAATGCTGTGAATTTTGGGAATTAATAATATAAAACAATAAAACGGGCCACTGTAACATCAGTCTCTATCATGGAGTATATTAACCATTATTAATTTACATCTACTGCATAAACCAAACATGTTTTAAAATTATTTTGTTTGTTTGAAATTCATGTACAGTGTATGCATTGTATTGTACACTATCTCGAAAAGAGGCTACTTTTGCAAACTAAAGTGGGGGAGCCTCAATATAAAATGTGTTTCTTCTGGAAATTAAGCCCATTGGGCTTCTATTCAAGGTTTTATTGTATAAGATAGCCTCAATCATCAATATCTTCCTGTGTTTAAAATTAAAATGATCCATCCAATTTAAATAAGGACTGACACACACGTGTCGGATATCCCTACTCAAAACATAATTACATTAATGATAAAAAAAAGTGTTAACGGCCAGCATCTCCCTGCTGGGTTAAGCTATAGATTCCACACTCGTAACATACTGGCTACGGTCACACTAGAGTTTCAAGCCTGGCTTGACTCACCGCGGGTGAGATTTTCGTAATGTGACCGCATCTGCACCGACTCGCGCCTGGCGTGACCTCGATCTCAATCTACCTATCTCGATCCCGGCTCAGCACCCATATTGACCCTGGATTGACCCTGGCGTGACCGAGATTGACATTTCCTCGTCGGCTGTCGACCAATCACAGTCGTTGTATTTAGAAGTTCTTGAATAAAAAAACCTGCGAGTTCTTCATGTGTGTTCAATCAAGACGCAATCATTACTTTTCATAAAAGTTAATTCAAATTTTAATTAATAATAATGCGATTGATTTGGAGTGACCAGGAAACTGCTGACCTGGTAGATTTGTGGGGCCAACCCGAGCTGAGAGACCGGATATAAAATTAAAAAAAACAAACAACAAAACGGGAATTTTTGGCGTGCTTGCTGACAGATTAGCCAGTCTCGGACATGAGAAGAGAACGACGGCCCAAATTCAAACAAAAGTGAAGGCATTGCGAGCCCAATACAAGCTAATAAAAGATCAGTTGAAGAAGAGATGGTTCGGGCACGTCTGGTGTAAAATCTTTGATTGCGATCTACCCAATCACACGCGCGTATATCGAATCCCGTGAAACAGAGTTGGCCAAACTCTCTCTCTACGGCTCTGCTGTTTCGACTTTCATAATTTGGAGGTCAATCCAACTAGTGTGACTGACCCAGAATTTCGAGCCTGGCTTGAAATCTCACCCGCGGTGAGTCAAGCCAGACTTGAGACGCTAGTGTGACCGTAGCCACTGTAGGTAGGCATATTCATACAACAAACTCATAGTACATTTTTATTTACTTGGTATTCATCTTTATGTGACCCCCAATCACAGTGCACACTACTGTACCTTGTACTTATTCTCGAATATAAAAGCATGGAACTGAAAGTTTTTTCTGGGTTTCCTTTCATCCGGGCATGGCATGGTCACCAGTTGGGTAGTCTGTCATCCATGGCACCTAGTCTTAGCTTCAGTTCAGAAGGCCTAGTTGACTATAACTGCAGCATGTTTAGCAAGTGAAAAAGGTACTTTACTTGAGTAAGCCTAGAAGAGGGGTGGTCAGAGGGACAAAGCGGATTTTTGAATGAACACTAAACTGCACGAAAAACTAACCCGGACCTTTTATTGTGAAATTTGCTTTAGTTTTTAAACAAAAATTAATGCATGCGCCCTAGGCTCGGGGTGTAACTACTAGGCATAGTCTTGCCTAGGTAGGCACCACACGATGCGTGACGTCACGCACTTCAATTAGTGTCATTAGCCCAGTTTAGCCAAGCGTGTTTTTTTCAACAAAGGCCTTAAGAAAAATATTCATATAAAAATGCTTTTTGATTGGTTGAGACATTTTCATCAGGTCAATCAGGTCACTCAGGGGTCGAAGTAGTACACCATTTTGATTTTTTCCGAAATCGGTCACCTTTTATCGAAGTTATCAACTTTTGAAAATTTCATTAAAATTCTGCGTTTTTTCCAGAGAATTGCGAGTAATAAAGTTCAATTTTTTAATAACGAAGATTAGTTTATATATCTAAGAGTTTATTTGCCAAATATGAATGTAATACGAGGCATAGCAATATTTTTTTTTGGCACCGCAAAACCGACGATCAGCTGTTGATCAGCCATCGTGTACACGAGGTAAATTATAATGATCTTAACGAAAGTGCTGCATATAAACGGCAATACTTTTCATGTAAATAAAATAAATATGAGTTCAAAAAGTAAACTAAATGATACTTAAAGTAACTTTTAGCTTATGATTATCTAAAAAAATAATTAAATATAAGGATTGAAGTGGATATTAAACATAGGATGATTTCGAGAGAATTGTGAGACAATGCTAGTTTTTGTTGTAAGAGGATGACGTCATGCGTAACGGCCAATGAAATTCGTCATTTGAAGTCCGGCGGGGAGGATAGTTTTAATTCTAGATTACCACTGGTAATATTTTTATTTTTCATTTGTAACTTAATTTAGTACATAATTATTATTCCCAGCCCCGAAACCTGGACTCAGAAATACCGGGATGGTGTCCAGAGGGATTCTAGACTCAGAAATACCGGGATGGTGTCCGGGGTTTCTAGACTCAGGAATACCGGGATGGTGTCCGGGGGAGGGGGGGTGGGAGGATAGTTTTACTTCCAGATTAATTCTGATAATAAATTTTTTCAAATATCTATATTTATGTACTTGTATAGTTTTTATTATATTATAGTTTGCAAAATTTTATACACCATTAATGCCCGTCACAAAATGCACCAACATTTTGTCGGACACTGCAATTACTCTGAGAATGCAAGCAGTGTCAATAAGACCTTTTTTATGACTTATTTTTTTATTTATTTAAAAAAAAATTTTTTTTTAAATTTTTTTCCAGAATTTCCGAATTGTGGGTCAAAGGGCATCTGAAAAATTTATAAATTTTCGGGTCGTTGTGTAAGTCTACATGACCAATGTAACTTGCATTAATAATTTACAATCAAAATGTACATTATTTTTTAGCATTTACAAAAATTAACAGGAATATATGGCAAAAAGTGACAGAAATATTATTGTTAACATGCAACTTGCTATAGGCCTTTTTCACGAATCGGTAGACATCATGAAGTGATGACAAACATTGCGAATCAGTGGTGCGTAACCAACAGAAATAAGATAAGCTTGTGGGCTGATTTTTTGACATCATGTTATTTAAAAAATCATAACTCTATAACGGGGCGTCGCATCCAAAAAAATTTTTCCAGCAAAATGTTCTTAAATACTAGTCTGCAACACTATATGATTACAAAAAAATTGAAAAAATTTGTTGACCTCTGAAATCAAGATTGAAGAAGAAAAGCCTATCTCAGTTTTTTAAATAACATGATGTCAGAAAATCAGCCCAAAAGCTTATCTTATTTCTGTTGGTTACGCACCGCTGATTCGCAATGTTTGTCATCACTTCAAGATGTCTACCGATTCGTGAAAAAGGCCTATTATTCATGCGCTCATAAACTTCAAATTTATAAAACCGTAACCAGTGGCTCAATTTTCCTCAAATAAAATTTTTTATGATACTGAGAATAAGTAGTTTTTTGTGTTATTTTTTTTTTTATATATTCAACTTTGTATATCATGTGGTACCTAGCTGGAGTAGTAGCCCCAATATCAGTGTAGGCCTAGCTTAGAGGGTTAGACCCTACTACTACTAGCCCAGCCTTAGGTCCTCCTAGGCTCTAAAAATTATCGAAGTTTTTAGAGTCGTAAGCATTGATCATAGGCTATGCTTACGTCGATCTATTTGAAGGGCGCCGCTTGCTTCATGAGTACGAAAACGTCCTATTGAGCATGTGCAAATATAAGAGAGTTTCCTTTCAAACATTTCAGTTGTTAAAAACCTTGGTGCTTAAACCGAAATATACTACAGTGTTTTTGTATATTAATAACAAAATTGGATTGAAACTGTGTCACGCTCTCTTGTAATTATTGTATGCGTACTTGTTCATAATAGGAAAATTAAGAATTTTATAGGGACACGGATCAAGAGATGTTGGAAAGGTCGGGGTGAGGGATTGAGATACAGGTAAGAGCACCCTAGGGGAAATTCTTGTTTTCGATTTCGCTTTTTAATTATGTACTGTAATGTACAGGACAATGATTTAAAATCAGAATATCACTGCAGCAGGCAGGTCATCTCCAACATTCTACACATCATACATAGATACATTGTCATTATTATTTCAGATATAGTATTGTATCAATATCAACATAAATTGGGCTAGATAGGCCTATCTAACAATGAAGTACTGTATCACAATGAACAGACGGCACTTATGAGGAAAGTACAAGAGCTTGGCACAGGTCAAATATTTTTACACAAGGATGATATGGAGTACCTGAGTAAAGTGAATTAAGGCAGGCTAAATAGGCAAGTGCTACAGAAACTAGGTAAGCTAGAATTTGGTCCTTGTGTGGGAATGTACTAAAATATGTCTGCCTCAGTTCATGACGATGCCTGTTCTTTTGGAAAACTGTGGACTAGACAAAGCTCATACCTTGACAACGTGAAATAGTAAGCAGATCAACGAGTAATAGATCGTCGTAAGCATAGCCTCGAAATATGCTTACGCCAGCCCTGCGCATGCTCAATAGATCGGCGTAAGCATAGCCTATATGACTAATGCTTACGACTCGGCGTAAGCATAGACACTTCAAAAAATTATAGGGTAAGGCCCTAGGCCCAGTGGACGACCTAAATAAGGCCTAGCCTCCTAGGCCTAGGCTAGACCTAGGCCTAACTAGCCTAGGCTAGGCCCTAACACAAGTAAGGGCAAGGCCTAGGGTAGGCCCTACTAGGCCTAGGCCTCTCTTTCTAGGTAGGCCTAGCCTAGCCTAGTCTCTAGAAAATATATTTAAAAAAATGATTACTCACATTTTTGTGATAACTTGAAGATGCAAAAGCAACTGGATTTCTCTTCTGAAGAACCAGTCGAAGTGATTTTCCAAATTCACGAGCAAGTGCCATTACTTTTTTATGAGAAAATAATATTTTGTTTATAATCTAATATCACATGCAGTTTACGCAGAATCACGATGAATATAAATAATTGCGTCTTCATCGGACATCGTGTCGTCATTGCAGGTGAAACAGCGCCCTCACTATAATAGTGTAATGCGGAACCGGTGGCGATTTTTTTTCCGTACGAAACATTTACATGAAACTCCACTCGGGCCGTCTCGGCTGAATCGACCCGAAAATCTCATTGCAGAATTCAGGAGGTTAAAAGGTCATCAACAGATAAACGTCTACAAAACAACTTCTGAGAGAACGTCGCTGTATAATTTTTAAAAATACATGTTACCATGTTAATACCAATGGGTCGTTTAAAATGACATATATATTTGATTAAGCTGCACGAGTAATGAAATGTGTTATTTTAACTTGAGTTACATACTATGACAATTTTAATTTTTTAGTTAGGCCTTGGTTTTGCATATACCTAGGCCTACTAAGACCCTTTCTGGGAAAAGCACAAAGAGTAAGGAAAAAAGCGCGTTTTTCTTCATCAAATGAAACAGGGTGACAGTTATTTTCAAATTAAGAGAAGAGCTGAGAATAGGCAGCTCTAAAATACTGGATGCCCTAAGACCTGCCAAAATGGCAGAGCACCATATGAATGTAAAAATGAGCTAGTTATTAATACTAGGCATAGTAATCGGCTGGTTCTTGATTACAAAGCTAGACCAAGTTAATTACATGTAATGCCGAAATGATTATTATTATTATTAATTATTATTATTATTACCTGTACCTTAAGGGGAACTTAGACAATGGAGGAATTAGAGAACAATTAAAAAAACGACGTTAAGGAGAAATAACACAAAAGATATTCCCCTTGGGCGATTATTATTTATAGGCCTAGTAAATAGTACGGTATCTGTAGGTTCTTCATTACCTTAAGGCTTAGGCCAAGGTTAATGCTGAAATTATTATTATTATTATTTAACATTAAAATTCAATAACGCCGGAATGGTATATTATTTATTTAAAAATATTTCTCTATGCGCTCTATTTTTTATTTCATGCTTCAATTTTGTCCTATTTTTTCCCCAA